ATTTTAAAGGTGCTGTATTGTAATACTTTTGATAGAAGTATCTGCATTTGCTGTACAGACAATTTTGAAGAACCAATTTTTAGCTCACACAAGAAGCATGGAGGTGAGGTGTCAGTGTTTCTGTTTCATTTGTGGTATCTTCAGTCCGCTTTCCTCTTTGTTACAGCCTTTTCATATTAACCACAAGCTAGCTTGTCATTAGCAATAAACCTCATGACTAAGATGGAAAAATACATTTTTATGAACATTTATCTTCATTATTTTATTGAGATACACTGATAAATTACATAGAAAAACTATAAAGAAAAAAACACATGAAACAAGCATGAAACAAGACAAATGAAGGTTAACAGGACAATAAAAGCGCTATAAAGGTAAATATTTTACACACAGAATAGCACAGAGGTGAGGTGTCAGTTTCTAAAAGCTTTTAGAGCACTGTGATCACGTGACCATGCACGTTGACTTTGACCTGCAAGTTCAAGCGCTGTGCCACTAGTGCGAGAGTAACAATTCTGCAATTTTGTTCCTCTGTTTGCCCGGGTGTGGGATAGAAGCAACAATCTCATAATAAGATGAGGCATTCAGAGCTAGAGCAGACGTACAGACACAGAAGGAAGGGCTGAAATAAACTGAGTGTATATATATGTATATTGTGTGTGTTTGTTTACTCTTTCAGGAATCATATTGTGATAGTGTCAGTAGAGTAAGGATGCTGCCTGAGCACCGGCAGAGCGCGTGCTGTCTTCCATGCGGTGTGCCAGTGTGCAGACGTCTGCAGAGGTATCAGTTCTCTGCTACAGGAAAGAAACCTCTCTCTGAGTGGAGAAATTAGTTTGTATCGCCAGTGAGGGGGAACACAATCAGTTCTACCATGAACGCTGTCTGCGGGCGCGTGGGGATCTTAAATCGCAGCGCTATTAGCGTTAGGTGTGGAAGCTGCGCATTCCCACGTGCCGCAGAGTAGGAATTGCAGTGGGAGGTGTGTTCCACTGTCACATACCCTCCCCCTCAGCTTGGAGGGGATCCCCTAAGCGTCCAATTGATGTTGTCGGAAGAGGGCATCCGCGTTTCGGTGGGCAATCCCCGCCCGGTGTTGTACCACGAAACGATAAGGTTGTAGGGCAAGGAACCACCTGGTCACCAGGGCATTTTTCTCTTTGTTAGACTTCATCCAGGTGAGCGGTGCATGATCTATAATGAGGGTGAATTCCCTGCCCAACAGGTAATACCTCAGTGTTTCGATTGCCCACTTGACCGCCAGACACTCCTTCTACACGACAGCATATTTATGCTCCCGGGACAGTAGCTTTCTGCTCAAGTATAGGACAGGATGTTCTTCGCCATTAAAGTCTTGAGATAGGACTGCCCCTATGCCCTTTTCGGAGACGTCCGTTTGAAGGATGAACCTCTGTTGAAAGGTAGGGACCCTTAAGACTGGATCCTGGCATAAAGCGACCTTGCGGTTACTAAAGGCTTTAGCCGCTTCCTGGGTCCAGCGCACAGTCTGGGGAGCTGCCGTGCGCGTGAAATCGGTCAGGGGTGCAGCCCTCTCGGCAAGGCTGGGAATAAACCGGCCTTAATAATTTAAAAGCCCCAGGAAAGCCTTGATTTGGGTCTTCGATTTTGGTATCGTCCAGTCCCGGGTGGCCTCTATCAGGCGTTGAAAGATGGCGGGGGCTCCATGGAAACCGAAGGGCGACACATTGTACTGGTAAAGCCCCATAGGAGTCGAAAAAGCGGTCTTCGGCTTTGTTGGGCTCGACAGGGGGATTTACCAATTACCTTTTGTAAGGTCTAAGGTGGTAATAAATTTGGCCTTGCCCAGCTTCTCCAGGAGCTCATCTATCCGGGGCATTGGGTAGACATCAAAACGGGAGACGTCATTGCAGAAACGCCAGGAACCGTCAGGCTTCGGGGTGAGCACAATGGGCCTGGACCAGGGCCTGTGGCTTTCCTTGATGACGTCAGCTCCAACATCCTGGGGGGGAGAGATTTGGAGAGAGAGAAATTATATCCACGGTAGAGGAGGTAGAGTCACTGGCCAGCAATGCAGGGACTGTCTCCTCCACATGGGGTTCTCTCCAAGGTTTCAGGGCGTTCACGTGGTATATCTTTTTTACGGTGGTCCGGATGGTATACCCTGTATGTGACTGGCTCGGTCCGTTCGCAGATTTCGTAGGGTCCCTGCCATCTCCCGTAAAGCTTGCACTCCGGTGAGGGCAGTAGCAGCATTACACGATTCCCAGGGAGAAAGATCCTTTGCTGCACTGAACGATCATAGCACTCCTTTTGTCTGCCTTGCACTCGCTGTAGGTGATCCCCCATTAGTGGTGCAAGCCTGTCCTGAAGGGAATGGACATAATCGAGCACATTGTGGGACGACAATCCCTGTGACTCCCAAACTTCTCAGGCGACATGCAAGATTTCTCGGGCTTGTCTACCATATAATAACTCGAAGGGGGAGAACCCTGTGGAGGCTTGGGGTACCTCTCGGATGGCAAATATCAGGAGAGGGAGGATTAAGTCCCAGTCTTTCCTGTCGGCTTGCAAGACCTTTTTCAGCATCTGCTTCTGGGTTTTATTAAAATCTCTCCACCAGCCCGTCTGTTTGTGGATGCTGTACTGAATCTCTCAGGAATTTTATGTTCAGGAGTTTAGCTTTCTCTTGCATCAGGTGTGAAGTGAACTGAGTTCCTTGGTCAGATAATATTTCTTTCGGCAAGCCAAGACAGGTGAAGAGATTTACCATCTCCTTAGCGATGCTGGTGCTGACAGCCCTACGTAGAGGTATCGCCTTTGGATACCTGGAGCGTAATCCACAATTTCCTTTCCCCCGGAGGCACCACAGTACATACCATTTGAATGTTAGACTGCTTGTGTTCCATATGTTTAAGTTCCTACTTACAAGTTCTTAATCTCACTTCTGTGTGTTTAGCAGGTGTGATTAGCCATTGTGACCTACATTCTACATATTTCCACTAAGCGTAGATTCAAATGAAACAGCAGATATGATGATGCAAATGCAAGTAATAATAATGTTATTGTTACAGCTTTCTGTATTGTGAGAAGGAGACCTTCTACAAAAGCAGAGCTCCACACTCTCACAACCAGACTCCAGCACTCAGCTGCCACCCAGCAGATTTCATGTTTTTTCTGACCTACTGCAGTGCAATCAGTATCATTGCAGAGATGTATTTATAAAATATAAATGAACCCTTTTCATTTATTTTTCTTTCATGCATAGATCACGGTTCATACAGTACAGTATACATATATACACATATATCATATGTGCCTTCCTCTAAATCGTTTACTAAATCCCTTTGTCATTCCTTCTCCTCCTCCCTGGACTACGTGACCCCTTCTCTCACTAAACCAGCTCTTCTCAGCGATCTTTTTCAAAACTAGGCTTTCTAACCCCCGCCTATTACTTTACAGATGTCGTCATTACAACATCATTCCTAAAGGATTTTGCCTGAAATTTAACACTCTCCTTGGACTCCAACACCACCGAGAGTAACACTAAAAAATGTTTACAATAATTTTCGAGGAAACTAATGCTTTGTACCATTTTCTCCCTCAAATAACAAATTACCCTTTCTGACAACAACATCAAAGTACTGTAGCTAAGGAATTTTTACAGTTAACAGCTCCACATCATCCCTTTATAACTAATTTCATCAGATCTCTTAACTCCAAACTTCCTCACCGGAGAGAAGGATAAAAAACTTAATAATTAAAGACTTAAACTTGTCTTTTTATGACCTTGATCAGCAGTTATTCCTCCACTGGAAGGGGTAAGGCTTTAAGACTTGATTACATTAAAATATTTACTTGCAAACTCAAAAGCACAGCTGTTACCTTGCACACACTGCATTGCTGTGGTTCAAGTGAACTATGAGAGGACCCTTCATACACTGCTATCCCGATGGGCCTCCAGGACTCAGAGACCAGTGAAAAGCCCTACTGATCCCCACTTTTAATCAGCACAATTAAAGTAGCTGTGTCATTCACCACTGCTGGGATGGTATGGGGT